GGATGGTGGTGGAGGAGAAGGTGACGGCGGTGGTGGTGGAGGAGAAGGTGACGGCGGTGGTGGTGGAGGAGAAGGTGACGGCGGTGGTGGTGGAGGAGAAGGAGGAGAAGGAGGAGGAGGAAGTGACAGCGGTGGTGGAGGAGGAGAAGGAGGTGACGGCAGTGGTGGTGGAGGAGGAGGAGGAGGAGGTGATGGCGATGGTGGTGGAGGAGAAGGAGGAGGAGGAGGAAGTGGCGGCGGTGGTGGAGGAGGAGGAGGAGGTGATGGCGATGGTGGTGGAGGAGGAGGACGAGGAGGTGACGGCGGTGGTGGAGAAGAAGGTGGTGGTGGCGGCGACTGAGGTGGCAGTAGCAGTGGGTATCAACGTCTGTAGCTATGGTGACAGGGACAGTGTAAGTGAGAGACTGGGTATCAACTTATTACTGTGAAAAGAAGTGAAAAGTGGTTAAATATGGGAGGGAGAGAAACCATCAGCCTATTACTGTAGTGTGGGACTGAAAGGTACAGTATATGAGAGAGTATGAGAAAGTCCCAACATATTACTGTAGAGAGAAGGGGGTCCAGTATGAGAAGAAGGGTGGGTACCAAACTATGACTGTAGAGAGAATGGGATACACAATGAGAATAAGGGTGGGTACCAGCCTAGCACTGTAGTGTGTGCGGTAGTCACTGTAGGGTGAGTGGTACAGTATGAAAGGATGGGTTGGGTACTAGCATATGACTGTAGTGAGAAGGAGTGTAGTATGAGATAGAGGGTGAGTAGAAGCCTTTCACTGTAATGTGTGTGGGTGAAGGGGGGATGTACAGTGTGAGAGGGAGGGTGAGTAAGTATCAACCACTGAGTGTAGAGAGGGATAGGGTACAGTGTGAAATAGAGGGTCGGTATTACTTAACAGCTAGTGTGTGTGTGGGGCAGTGAAAAAAATACACGGGGGGCTCGGGGCGATTTAGCCCTCGAAATGCCAAAAAGAGCCCCTGTAAATTTGCATAGAGATCAATGCAAACCAAATTTTAGAGTGCTATTTTCATGCACGCGAGCTTGAAAAGTAGCCCACGAAAAATAAATTTTACATTTTTTCCCTGGTGTGGGGGGTGTGTGGAAGAATCTGTGAGGAATGCTGGGTATAGCGTATAGATGTGGGCGGGCCAGTTGTTTGGCTAACGCTCCATTAGGAGTGTTCCCAACTTTGATATCATTAATGATTAATGATTAATGATTGATAATCCTAACCCTAACTCTAACCCTAACCTGACCTATAACATAACCTTAACCATTAATGACATTAAAGTTGGGTACACTCCTAATGGAGTATCACCCAGTTGTTTGTCTGTTTCTACTCTTCCGTCTTCCCTCATCAACACTTAACGTAAGGTTTCTGTAATTCTGAACTACTTTGTAACCGTCTTCTGAAGGTCAAGTCGCCATATTACCCCCTGACATTTCATGAGTTGAGAGTACAGAGGTTGAGTGTGCCTGCGTGAAGTGTGTCGGAACACCTCCATGCAGCATTGTCATGTCATGTCATGTCATGTCATTATCATGTTGATGTGTGCAGTGAATCTCCCGCTAGAGATTCATTGGCTGCATGCACGAACCCTGATTAGCATCACGGGCTACGTCATGCAAGATGCCTGCATTTACTGCAC